TCCATTGATTGAATAAAATGCAAGTAGCGTTTTTTTCTGCCCAGAGAAGGGAGTGACACTAAAAAAAAAACTTGCTGAGATTTGCTCATATACACCCGGCTTAAGAATTATAAGCGCACCACATACATATCGACAAGGATTAACATTTTTTTATTAATTAATTTTTATGATTTTCATAAGAATAATTAATGTGTAGTTTATTCTTTAGGAAGCTCGTATAAATCTAAGTTTTATACTTTGCGCTATATTAAGAGAAAACTCAACAAACGTTCGAAAGATTTAAGGTACACCGTTTTGTAGCCCATTAAATTTTAGTAAAGTTCAAGTTTTAAGTAGGTTGGACTTACATTGATTTTTTGCAAGTTTTTTCGTTAAAAGTGTTGCTCATTTTCTTCCATATAAAAAAAAACGTCGAACATACTTTATATGAGGCCATGAGAGCAGAAGTGGCCTAACCTGCAATTTTTTTTCATGTAAAGGTCGATTATTATTACTTTGATGATACGTTATATAGCTCTGAAACTTAAAATTAAAGAATAAGCGACTTTAATTTTAAAATTAAAACCGTTATAATAACTTGAAATCGCTACTGTATGTAGGTACATATATCGTTATAAATTTTTTGCCCCATACAAACAACAAATATGTATAAGACTTTAATTTCTTCCTGATCCTCCTTCTGATCTTCCGATCTTTTGCTAACAAAGTGAAAGATCGAATTCGGATTTCGTGCGTGTTGGCCATTGCATTAGCCCACAGCTCGTTGGTGCTTAGCCAGACGAAGCCTTGGTCCTATGTTAGGTCATCAGCGTCCATCTGCAACAATCTAAACATACGCTGTTCACTGGGTGATGAGCTTATTACTGGACGGAAAGGAGCGGTAAATAAGATTGAAACTTCAAGCTGAAAGTGGGGTTTAAAATATTTAATGAGTGGGTTAAAAAAAGTCAAATTCCGAGACAATGGCTGTGTGCAGAAATGCATCAAGCCAAAGCATCAGGCTCTCGTATTTCTTAACTATAATTTATGGAGAGGCCTCATTTGCGCAACTAGGTTCCAATTCGACATTTAACAGTGGTAGCGCATATTCTGCGTTTCCATCAATTCTAGTTTGGAAATAGAAGAGAATGCTGCTTTGGCTTTATATACATCAATATTTCTGAATTACTTTAAATTTAAAGAAATTTTCCTAAAAGGAGAAAGCCTCTGCTGATTCATTTCCTACAGTTGTTGTGTTGCGTTGTCAACAGAGTGCAAAATTTTACTGCATACAAATCTACATATTAACATTCGAAGCCCAACACCACATAAAAGTATAATTCAATTTAGCTTTGTTGCTATATTTGCAAGTTTTTTCTGAAATAATTTTTTGTGTATAACCACACTTACATATTTATGTGTTCTGGAAGATTTTTACAAATTTATTTAAGAGCGCTATAAGCGTAAATAACAATAGATATACATACACATATTTTCGAAATCCTACATACATACTTATTTATATTTACAATAAATAACTGAGCAAGGTCAATAGAACTCCATTTTTTGCGTTAAATGTAGATGCCTACTAATAATTTTGGATCGAGTCATTTATTTAATTTTAATATTATTTCGGCCATAATCACGATTTAATGCTTTCCATAATCGTTCGCTTCAGCAGCATTCAATTCTTCGTAAAGTTCATTTGATTGATGATGATTTCCAAATGGGTTGTTGTTGCCATTGTTGTTTGTTGGAGTCATGGCTTGCACGCCGGCACGAATTTGCAGGGGATTGCGGAGTATATGTTGCAGCTGCATGAGACACCTAAGCAGCAAAAGAAGAACAGAACAAAAATGGGTAAGACATACATACATACATATGTATGTACATACAAATTTGTAAGTAATTTAATTCTCAAAAAAAAAAAAAACACACACCTTTCCAGTCTGCGATCACCGTCTTGTTGAACACCGAGCATTTCGGAATTATCGACATCCCTGTGTGTGCTGAGTGCCCGCTTGCCATTGGTCCAACCGTGGGAGTATTGAAATGTTTGACCAAATGAAGTTGCCACGAAGCAAAGAACAACCAATGACAGGAATAATTTGAGCATCGTGTTTATGCTGCAAGCAATATATCAATATATAGTTACATACGTACAAAAATACAATAACTTAAAACCATTTGTGTATGCAGACTGCTAAAAAAAAATTTTACTAGCTATAATTCCAAATTATGCACCAGGAACACTTAAATTGATATGTACATTCGTTTTAATAAAAACAAAAACTGAGTATCTCGCCATAGACGCTCTTCACAGGTTTTAATTGCATAGATACATTTAAGCTCGTAAGTATGTATGTATACGTATGTACGTAGATTAGGTTAGGTTAGAATGGCTGCCCCGCGATGTAGGCTGGAAAAGCCCGTTGTGATACCACTGGCCGAAGCCCTTTGTTTCTTTCCCTCCCTTAGTAATTGAACCACCGGACGAGGACGTTCGCCCAGTTCAAGTCGGCTAAACAATATAGAAAGTACTTGTCGAAGAATTGGTTGCGCGTACTGGCGAGACAATGTTCGATGCTCTCCACCTCTACCACGTCTCTGCAACAGCGACAAAAGTCGTTGGTGGGGTATCCTAACGCTTTTCCGCGTTCTCACTAATGTGAGAGAAGAGCGGTGCTGCCGAGTGAGAGCTTTAGGTCGCCTTAAAACAATCGTTGGTCAAATTTTCTTGGTTGTATGGCAGGTGGTTGCCACAGTCCGCCTGGTATTTACCTTTTGTATGAGTTCAGCCTTTAATCTGTGTTTGGCGGAGGTTAGAAGTATGCCCGCATTCTGAGCAGAATTGACTTCGGTTATTTCCGTTCTCTCCTTGCCAGCTCGTCGGCTAGATAGTTGCCAAGATTGTCCCTGTATCCAGGGACCCATACAACAGTCAAGGAGCATTTTGAGGCCAGCAGGTTGAAGGTATTCCTGCATTCTATGGCTACTTTGGACATTGTACCGTAAGATTTGAGAGATTTGATAGCAGCTTGGCTATCAGAGTGAATAGTGATGTGCGGTTTCGTGTTTTGAAAGCACCGGTTCTTTCCAATACGGTTTCAAGGAGAACCGGTAATTTGGGCTGGTTCCGGTTCTCAAGAAAGTAGTAACGGAAATGGGCCCCATCGAAATAGGTTTACAAAACAGCAGATACACGTACAAAAAACGCAAGATTTTCTTACGAAATAACAATTATTTTAATAATTCACACTTCCCCTTCTGAGTCAGTAAATAATTAGTTTACCGCCACCTAACTGTTTTCTATTTTTTTCATAAAATTTTCCATATATTTCTTTGCTAGAAGTAATTTTAAATAAGTGACTTGGAGTCGGTTTTTCTTTCGACATAATTATTGCGGTAGAGGTTAATGATTTAGTAGCCACAAAAGTACCCGATATATTCTAAAAGAATCGATACCGAAGTACTCTACTCAATATCTTCCCCATATCTATTTTTAACAAGTCAAAGTGTATACCGCGCCATCTATGTGTTAAGTACGCATTGTTTGACTGGTACATGTTCTCTGCTATGTATTCGGTATCAACCACAGTGGCGCAGAAACTACGAAATATTGAATTTTAGTTTAATGGCTACAAAACTGTTACCAATTTTCAAATTGGTCATCGAGACCAGTGGGATTGAAAAATCGCAAAAAAAAAACACGTTAAAGTTTCTTCATTACGAATTTAATTATGCAGACTTTTCAAATTCAATTTTGCACTTCAATATTGAATATTTAAATATGCATTCAAAAGTGGTTTATCTAAAACAGCGATGGGCAGAGAGAACTTTTACTCCACATGCCCCTACATAAAATGTGTAGAAAGCTTAAAAAGAGCTTTGCCTGCGAGCAAGATGGTGCCCATCACCGATCTAAAACAACACGTTTAAACTTGCACTGAAGAAGTAGTCTAAAAATGTATGCATATCCCGGATAGAAGAACTTTTTTACATTCTACTTTAGATATATAATACATAGATATTTACATATCTTCTTACTTTGATTTTACTTCCTCCGCTTTTTGTTAATCGAAATTTCGTACTCAACTCGACGAATGCACTGATTGAACTGTGACTTTTGTGAATGGAAATCCGCTTTTTATACCCAACAGTGGGCTATCTGCTGCCAGCATTAAGAATTGAGATATGGCCTGTAGTCCCAAACAGAAACACTTTCACACATGCCCATATGGATAATAATCTTTTTTTGCTTAACCAAGATGAACAGTGATTATTTAGCCAACTATTGTTTCAGAAGAAAGTTACCCCAAAAGTAGCATTTAAATGGGAGGTACGAAAGAACATCCCACAAGCGCACACACACATACATACTTACATACATACACATTGGCAAATAAGCAAATTGCATAGGTTTATGGGCGAGTGAGTGAATTGAATGAATTTGTTGATTAAAATTACCACTTACGGATGTTTAGCATGATGAGCAACAAGTGTTAAAGGATGCTGCAGGTCATTGTGAAGGAGTTAAGCCGCATACATGCAAAAGAAAAATCGTGAAATGTGCATATGTACATTAGAGTGGTCCAATTATTGTATGGGGGGAAAAAGATGCCATCCTAGAAAACGGGGCAACCCCTCAGTTTTTTTCCTTTTGATATTTGTAATTTCTATACCAACTTTCAATTTTCTACCGTAACCAGTACAGGGTGCTCAATGACCTTGAAATGCGCTTCCGGATCGCTTTGGAACTGGCAAAAATATTGGTGATTTTTATAAAATGCTACTGTTGCCATGACAACTAAAGCTTGTGATTTTTTTTAGATAATTTAAATTTGAAATGTTCTTAGGTCACTTAACCAATTGTTTGATTAATTTATGTGCTCAATACTTCTAGAGTGAAATATGAGCATCACGAGCATCCTCTAAATTTATACTTACAAACGCAAGGTTTGGTACCAGCACCTTTTTCGGCAAGAGGAAAAATTTCGGAAGGTGCCACAAACCCTATCTAGGAAACATATTTTTTGGACCACTCTAATGTACATACATACATATTGTATGTATTTTTGTATTTAACTGCGTGGAATTCTTCGCATAAAATGATAAAACTTAAATACAACAAGGAAAGGATGTAGTAAAGTTGAGACAAGGAGTGAAATAAAAATAAAGCGAAGAATTTAACAAAAAATAAAAAAAAACTTATTTACTTACCTAACCGTTGCTCAGTAATGTTGCTTATTTCAATTATAGACTAGTTATTTCAAAATCGGGGTTGTCGTGGGCAGCATTCCCATTCGTAACTTCTGGTGGTGTCTGCTTTGTCTTATTTTTATTCCGGCGCAAAATTATGTAGCAAAGCCTGAAATACAACCATTTATATGTATGTAAATGTGAGATTTTTTGAGTACATTTAAAGTTAAAAAAAATTATTAGAAAACTCCTTAAAGTCAGTTTATTCCTTTTTCGAAAACTTTTGTCCTTTTAAAAAAGTTATTTGCACTAATTTGAGATCGCCCTTTACGAATATGATCTTGTTTACGTTTTCAAAGAAGCAGCTTGAAGATAAAAGCTAAATTTACGAAAAGCTCAATTGCTAAGGGCCAGTTTCTCAATGTCTGGTTAACACTAGCTACAGATTAAACATCGTTATCGACTCCCTGTTATATGTTAAAATTTTTTGAATATTCTAAGTTGAATAAAGTCTGAATTCAAATTAAAATCCAAGCATTTTTCACGTGGAGATATATGTACGTTCATTGTGGCAGCTGGTTTCCACGCTCCCTTAGCTCAGAAAGTATTTTGGAAACCTACGAAGCTCGAGTGAAAGGGGAAGAACGGGCATCCGTTTGGCGAATATAGTGTTCTTTTTCATACGAAAAAAAATTTTCCATATATGTACATATATATAACTTTTATTAATTGTTTATCAAAGTAAATATTCAAAATTTGTGAAAAACTCAGACCATAATTTTTAGTAGTTTATCATGAAAATTGCTATGATAGTTTCACTGGATAGTTTCAGTCTGGTGTCATCTTGATGCCCCAGTTTGAGCACATCCGCTCCCTACCCGAGCTCTCTAGGAGATTTATCTTTAGAAAAAATGCTGTGAAGAGTAGAGAACACAATAGATCACTAACCCCATTTCTATCTAGCTATCTAATAGAGTTTACCATCGTTATTGGCCTTTACTTTAAATGTCACTAAATAATGGAAAATATAAAACTTACGTAGATTGCTCCTACACTAAGAAATTAGCAACAATTTTGAAAGAAAAAAGTATTAATTGACCTATATAAGTACATATATATATGTCTAGTAAATGCTCTAGTTACTTGGATTAAATTCGTGTAATTTCTTCGCTAATATATATTTAAAGAAAGCCCAGCACCTCTTAAAAGGACAATTAAAAACGAACTTGAAAAAGAACGACAGTTTTTAACACAATTGGGGGGTCAGGCCACAGTGATATCGCAGGAAATTGCGTGCTAGCCAGGAAAGGCAGTATCGATTCGGCCCCACAAAGAAAACATATAGACTAATTGACTACTCTGGGAGAGATACGGCTCGTATTATTTCACCGAAGGCTGGGCAAAAACCATACGCTGTCCGAGCGTGGAACGTATGCGGTCAAGGCTTCCAAAAGATTTAACTCTCAATTCTCGTGGGTGCATTGACAGGACATTGTCCAATTGGGTGTCATGTTGTGAGACTAATAGGCGGCATACACGGTGCGTCTGACTCGTGAGTCATTTGTGTACCTGTTGAATCGCCTTTCGACTACACACAGTTGAGTCATTCAGAGTCATGCCAGAGTCAAGTTGGTGTAACTAACACATATTTATCCAAACCGACTCACGAGTCCGACACACGGTGTATTGCCCCTATTAATAAAATAGTAGAGCCTCTCTTTCGAAGCTGCTTAGAGGACGGTAATGGTGAATCATCAGTATGATCTACGTATCTAGGCGATCACAAATTAGTCTAAAAACTAAACTATTAGCTACAAACGCATAAATTAACTTACACAAATACCAGAACGTTAGGTATGTAAAATATTTCACCAAATAGGAAAATAGCGCCCGGAAAGCTTTCCACGGTATCCTGGTATATGACACTAAATATTGGCGGGAATATAAATTGTCCAATTGGCTCACTAATGCCAAATATCGAATACATTTTACCTGCAAAATGAATGGTTAACATAAAAAATATTTCTGTAATTCCCGTTGAGAATTGAAGCTTACTTAATTCCTCGCCATCAACAATGCTGGAACCGATTGTTTTAATAGCAATTACGCGTAAACTCACGAACATATCAACAACACCAGCAACATAGAAGGACTTCGTATCCTTGGCGAAAGCCTGAAAGGTTTAATAGGGCGTTTAACATATCTCATACTGAATTTAAATACCAAATAAGTGGACTTACAAATAAAATTCGAGATATAACAATGGCCACAGCTGATAAAATGCCAATAGTGGAGTCGGCAAATTTCAATAATTTACTAAGTATAGCGGTGCCGATGAAAGTACCTGGGGAAAAATAAGGCATCTTAAATACGTATTTTACGAGTATGTATATTAGGGTAGTGCAAAAATGCATGTGAAAAAGTATAGTCGGAATTTTTATTTTTAGGAGGTGATCGTAGAATTGTTCCAAACCGAAAAACAATACCTCAATTTTTTTTTAATCAAAAAATATTTAGAGATTGCTCAAAGTTTTCCATATATTTGATATGGGAAAAAACATCTTTTCGTAGAAATGGTATTCTTTAAAAACAATATTTTTCGATCGGAAAACTCCGCTTCTCTGCAGGAGATTCCCTATAATAATACCCAATTACTTATTTAACAATTTTTCCGACCTTACCTTTTTTTTGGGCCACCCTAATGTACACTCACATTTGAGAGAAAAGACTAATATCAAGTTTAGATCTTCTTTCTAAAGAACGTACGAGGGAAAATTTTACGTAGGATGGAATATAAAGAAGCCAACTTTAGATGTACATATGTACATATAACTTTTAGGACCTCCTTAATTCCATTTTATTTTATCTGAAAAACACTTACATACTTTCATATTCAATTTACCTATTAATGCAGCTGCTGAGGAAAATGTGAAGAAAAAGCTGAAATCATTGCCATTCCAATTCAATTTGATCAGCGTGTAACGATACCAATAATCGTTCTCTCCTGCAATCAGTTAAAAACCAAGTTTTATTAAATTTTTTTTTTGCTCGAATATCTGACGCAAATCACACCTGATACGGGTCCAAGCGTTAGAAAATAGGCAATGATTAATAAAATCAGCAGCATTCTTCCATGATTAGGGCGTTTTATTAACGGAAATTTTATGCAATCTATCACTAAAGTTGGATCGAAAAATTCACGCAGGAAGGAACGTCTCACTGGCGCTACACTTTCTGAATGTGACAATTGTGCCGACTTATCGGCTGGCTGTAAGCGCGAATTCAATTCAAAGCTGACGTTTTTCACTCTATCCACTTCATCAGTACCCGTTTGGTCATAAGCCAAATTATCACTGCCGGCGCCAAGAGATGGCGGTCCATGTGCAGGCAATGGCGGCGGAACATCTTCAACTTTAGCTTTAGGTGCAGGTTTGACCTCTTTGATAAAGAAAATGATGTAGAGTATGGCGATTATTTGAAATGAGGCAGCCATTCCGAAGGAAACTGAAAATAAACAAGTGCTTGAAGTGAAGGATATACATAACCCAGCGATCAAAACTGAGTGCTTAGGGATTTTTTTTAATATTCACAGTATTTTTCTGGTTTGTTAATTTGTTATAAAAATATTGTTCATGCTATACATTTCCAAAACCATATAAATTAATGGGGATATTCTCTAAGTCTTGCAGGGTGTACGCATGGTGCTTAGGGAATACACCTGATGTTTCAAACGCAATACCAAATTTAGAAAATACAAATTTTCATTGGCAAAAAAATATTAAATATCAACGCGAATTTCTTAGCTGTTTCAAATATATACTTCTTTGTACTTAAATTTCATAGGCTATAAAACTGCATTTCCAATTTTCAAAAATTAAGATTGAAAGTTTCGAAATTTTGATGAAATTTTTATGGATGTTGGATAAATTTTTTTTTTAATTTTGTATAAAGTTTTAATCATTGATTTATGTATATGATTTTTGTTAGGTCATGAAAACAAATTTTATAACAGCGAAAATTTTAATTTAAAAAATGGTGTGAATATTAAGAAAACAATCGTTCAGTTTTGCGTACACGTAAATTGGGGTGATTTTTCTCGCTGCCACCCCCAAAACTGAAGAAAATAAGGAGACCTGTATCTATTATAACTTTGTTCCCATAACGGTTGTTTGTAACAGCCTAAAGACACCGAGATAGACATCGACATATATGTATGTAAGTACCTATATATCAAAATCCTCAGAATGAATAGGGAAGTCGATGAAGCCATGTCTGTCCGTCGGTCTGTTGGTGTTCACGATAGCGCAAAGAAACATTGAGATATCTCAACCAAATTTGGTATAATCATCATCCAAGTTATATAGGTTGGTACTGGAAATGGGAGAAATTGTACGGTCATCATGCCCACCTCCTATATAACGGTATTTTCGAAAAATGTAAACACTACAATACTTCCGTAAATTTGGATCCACATTGCTCAAAATGAGTATGTTAAGTAGAATTTTTTCATTAAATAATAATATTATGAAATGTTATTCTAAACTTGAACGAAGCGGCGAAGGTTTAATGTAAACAGTCGGTACAGGGTACCGGAAAGGAAGTATTGGGTACCAATTTATTTTTTTTTTTGAAGTATTGAAGTACCTTAAGAATTTGCTTACGAACACATAAAATAACAGATTTTTGAAGGGAAATATTTTTATTTCATTTAAAAATATTTGTTTTTATCGATTCTATAGCAATTTTAGGGAAAATTGTATTTTCCTCAGCCCCAAAAAACTTCGAAGCACCGGCGGCACGGTTAAATATTAAGAGATTTCCAAATATAAAAAAATATATACGGGTCTTCATATATTTGATATTCTTAAATTTTGGGGGATGGCTGCAAAAAAAAGTTGAACCACCCAAATATACATACAAACATATGTATGAACAAATCTCACAAGTGCATAGTTATCTTAGAAAATGCATTGTCTTCAGTTTTGTATAAAGAACAAGATTCCAACGCTAAATTGTAATTAAATTAAAATTCGAAAAAGATATTTTACTCGCACGCCTCAACTTAAAAGCCATATTATTTAAAAGTAGTTAATATTAGCCCTGAAACATCGTCTGTACTTAGCTTAAATTTTTGGATCTTTTGTGAAAACAGCACATAAATATTCAGTTTAGAATATTTTTCCATAAATTTTTATTTTGTGCTCGGTAGCCTTCTTACTTGCAGTTTCTTGTGTTGAAGATACAATCCCTCATACAATCAGCAAACATTTTTTTGGCGTAGTTTCGCCTATTTCGCTTATGTGAAATAAATGCAAGAAGAATGCTTTAGCGTGTTTTTTTACCTACCGAGAGAAGAGAGTACCGCTAAAAAAACAACTCCAACTCGTGAGATTTGCTCATGTGTATTTACATATGTATGTGTTTGTGTAAATTGTGAAAACAAAATGTGGCTTACAAATATAGCCCAGCTGTTGAAATAGAAAACCACTTATCGGTTGGCCGATGAAAGGTACGGCTGTTACAAACATTGCAAAAATACCAAATCTATAAAAAGAATAGAAATTAAGTATTACATCTCTTCATACTTACTTATACATAAGGGCTATTCGCGATCCTGTGCAAATGGCCTAGCATCATTGCATTGCAAGTTTGTATTGCAAATTATTTGCAATACACAAACAAAATACACGCATTTGCATTTGTCATGGCTTGGCAAATTTGCAATACCGAAAATCCATAGCATAAAAATGCTATGCATTGCATTCATAAACAAAATCAAAGCTGATGCACAAAAATTGTTTTGCAAAAGCTTTACCATGACAGTTTAATAAAGGTCGCTCACAATCCATGGCATATTTCTGCAATTGCATAAATTTGTCAGCTCTTATGCACCGAATCGCGAATAGCCCTATTGAGTAGAAATGTACAATGACAAATCACCTGAATATACGATCTTCCTCCGGTGTTGCTATCGTTATATAACTGTAGACAGCCATCAAACAAAATGTAAGTCCACCGAATAAGGCTGGAACAATCGCCTCACAGTATGCACCGAATTCCATTGGCAGAGAGTCGAAAAAGATCGCCGAAATAAGCAAACCTTTGGAAATAAACAATAAAAACATGTATGTATGTATGTATTTATGTACATACGTGTGCATTTATATTTCAATTGGCCAGTTGTTATGAAATAAACACATATACATACATACATATATACGCAATTTGTAGAAAGAATCAAGTAAACTTACATGTAAAGGAGAAAAATTCGCCAACAATGGGCATAATCATACATGGCTTGCGTTTGTTGTAACGATCGGACCAGCCACCAGCGAAAAGAAGAACAATCAATGGAAAGATGGCGGCTAAAAAGAGTTCATATATGTAAATAGTAGGAAATTATATAATCTTACTACTAATACTTAAAAAACTCGAGAAACAAATGTAGTGAAAAAACACCTAATTCTGAAAATTTCTAAATATTTATGTACGTATATTTCGTAGAAAAAAAGAAAAAAGTAAAATACTGATGGCTTTGAACAATTGTATGTGTGTTTTATTTATAGATAGAACAACCCTTTATTCGTTTACGCTTACTCTATATTCCTGCAACATATTTGAGGTGCGCGGAAGTATAGAAATTTTGTAAATTTGATTAAGAACCACTGCTCTAGAGCATACGCTCAGGGCTTCGCAATTAAGGCATGCAGGAGCTAATAAGTAAGTAAGTATGTTGGTATGTAGGTATTCTAATTAGCAATTATGATTTTTATTTTTTATTTTTTTTAATAAAAATATTGATCTGGCAGGAACTACGAAAAGAAGAGGCCCGCCTGAAAGAGTTAGAAAATCGCTGCGAGCCTGAAAAGTTTGCATGGAGTTCAAGTTTTGGTCCCTGCAGGAAATGTATCTCACTATAAGATAATTAGGAAGAAAGTAAAGATCGTATTTGCTTTCATATAACGAATAACCAAAATTTCAGTAGAAGTAACCCATAACATCTTCGATACAAAAAAAGGGTAATTTTTATCCGCTTGAAACTTGTACTTTACAAAACTACATACTCAAAATCTTCCAAAAAAAAAGGTCGAAATTTTTTTAATAATGCACAAAGTTTGAAATTTGGGTTTACACGGGTTTTGTTAAAGAATGAACTATATTTTTATAAAAAAAAATAACTAAAATTGAATAACAAAAAAAGAAATAATATCCTAAGACTTCGCAATATGTGGTGCGACCCTGTATAAATAAATTAATGTTTAGTTTACAACAGCCACACTTACGCTGAAAAGCGAAGTCTATCGAATGCTTTGCCATCACTAACAAATCCAGTTCAATAAGATAATTACTTTATAGTGTATTTAAATCAACAAAAACAGCATGCAATAGTAGTAAATTCCTCTAGTAAATAAGCATCTTCCAACTGAAAACATTCATTCATCAGATTGCTTAGAAACTTACACACACATACAAATATACACATGCTCGTACATACATACATACATATGTACTAATGATTTTTGAAAGAAAGGTCGATTAAAACAAACGCTGATCAATTTGTTTGTATAATTAAAAAAAAAAAACAGAATAAGCAAATAAGCTTTAAGTTGTGAAAAAAAAACTTGTTTGATACTCGAAAATTTACTAAACACATAACTACAAGTTACTAAAAGAACCAGTTTTCAACCGTGATTTGAAGATTTCCAATTCTGAAGATGAGTTCGCACGTATTACATACATACATGCATGAAAAGCGGCAAAAACTGCGATTATTATTAGCAGAAAAAAAAACGTATGAGCAATTATTGCCTTTATTGGCGATTTAGTAATTGGATTTTTTTTTATCAATAGATCAACAATATACTAGCACGACAACAAATTATTAGATATGGCCATTTATATCTTCGGTATGCTCGAATACCCATGGGCTTCTATAGTTCAAAAGGAAATAATAATAATTTTGTAAGTTAAAAAAATTGGGGTATTCACAACGGTGCACAGTGGTCTGAGAGTGGCATAAAGTCGTAAGTTTCTAAATGTTGCGAAATGTGCAACTACTAAATGGAGAAGATACTAGGCATGCCTACCAATACGTTTTAATAATTTTTCTGAGAAAAATTGCACTAGTAGGATTCAAAGGAATCATATTTTCACGTAAAAATTCGAACGCACATTTCACGGCATTAACAACGGTAGTTTCTATCTTTAATGCAAACTTCAATAGTACACAAGGGTTGCTATATAAAGGGCTTGTTCCAGTTGCAATCACAGCCGCAGTGTTGCGCGAATTATTAAAGCATCACGTTCTGTGTGAGTTTCTAGCAACGTATTTTCAGTTGGGCTGTTGCAACTGTGTTGCAAATTTTCATCAGTTCGACAGTAATGCCGCTTTTATTACGTGCCTCGAGCAAGTCCAAAATGTTTTCATTATGTTTCCTAGTCCTAGAATTGAGAGCATTTGTTTAATTCCATGCAGTTTTCAGTGAGTTTTTCTGGAGAGTATAAGTACCTTGCGTCGCCGCGTGTTGATAAGTTATTGGTGCAAAAAATACTCTATAGACATGGGCGTACGCAGGTACGGACCCCCACCCTAAATTCCAAAGCGCCATTACGAGTTTCTTTCTATGCATTTCATAATCAATTTCCAATTCCAAAAATTTTTGCAATAAATGGAAACTTCAGAGGTCTTCACATCCATTTCGGTAGTTTTGGTAAGCTGCTGGTTGTTACACGATAATTTTATCAACTGTGAACGCCCTTTTCAGCAGAACATCTGTTAGTCTGATAAATTATGTTTATCAACAGCTGATTGGTGTTATTTTCTATATAAAAAATTAATTGTAACGGAAAATTTAATGAATTTTACTCAATCATATCGCTCATTTACTTAAAAAAAAAAACATCTCTGAATTCGGCTCAAAAAAGCCCTATCTGAACTTAAAATATATTGAAAATAGGGCGTTTTAACCGAATTATGACATAAATCATTCTTCAATCAAATTTTGAAATATTGCGTTCTTGAAAAGTTTCGTTGGCGTTTTCGAACTGGCTGCCAATACAGGTCGTTCTTCCATTCACGAGTGTAAATAATCTCAGTCCCAGCACAAACTTTTTTTCATTAAAATTGGTTAACATTTACCATTTTCGTTCCCTAGTAGTCGTGGCAGTTTGCCGGTCTGAGCGATTTTTAAGATTTCTTCACACCTGAGCAAAATCGCTACAAATAACAAATTAAAGCCAAATTGGAGCCCAATTGGTACTTTTTGCGTTATTTTATATAGGGCTCTACCACTGTGCGGTATCGTAAGTGCCGTAGGGTTGTATGTCGTTTACTTTAAATGGTTAAATAAATATTTGCAGGACTTGAAACCACAGCCAACTATTTTTTAACAGTGTGCTAATTTATAACAAGAGTTTTATTATGGTACCTTACGAACGCACTACATATATTTTTAGCAGTTTCGTAAAACAATACTACACTTACGACACCATTGTGAATATCCCAAATATGTAAGTATGTATGTAATTATAAAACACAAAATCACATTCAAATTAAGCGATGTCTTGGGGATATGAAGGCGCAGAATTTTTAAAAAGTAAATATTTCTGACTTGTTTTCACACACGCACACGCGCGCGACAATTAGCAAATAACAAAGGAACGGGTATTTCCAGCAAATTATACATACAAACATTGTTACTTATTCTTTGTTTCTAAATCTTAGACATTTTAGAATTTGCTAAATTTAATAAACACGAAATGCAAATTTAAATTCCCGCAGCAGGTTTTTCTACAAAAAAAAAACAACAAACGTTTAGGGGATTTATGTTTTAAGCAACACCAGTGCAGCAGTGATCGCATCCATATGCAATCTGAAATCTTCAAATTTGTTCACTTAAATCAAATATTGAAATACACACCGATAGGTGCACGTTTCCCGGATACATCTGCGGCTAATTTCTGCGCCTCGACTTCAGCTTTGCAGACAGTGTAATTGAAGCCCACTGAGCTAATGGTGAGCGTAGCATCCTGCGCAGTGGCGCCCAGCGTAGTATTATCAAAGCTGAATCCTTCGCATTCTATACCCAATTCCGATTTGTCCAAAGTCGTATCGCAGACAAGTTTACTATATCCTAAATTAACGCGGCAAGCCTAAAAGATCCAGAGTGTGACTAAGTACATATCTTACATACACATGCACTCTGGCGAAAAAAAGCGTTACCTTGTCAAGTGGAAAATTTTGCATTGCAACTGCATTGAAAATACTGGCCATCAAGTAGAAAAAGAAAAACGGTTCAATAACTAAGTACTTGCGGTAAACCCACAATTTATTCAAGTAGGCAAGCGCTCCTTTTGGCTCTGCCTGCGCTGCTTCCGGTGCAGCATCGACGGAAATGCCATTTTGTTGTGACATTCCACTTGCGTTACGTGAACTTTTGCACTGATCTCACACAAATTTAATTTTGATTTTTTTTTTAGTTCTTATTTATCTATACGCATGTTCACGGGTGTGCTTCTGAGCGCGGATTAAACACAATTGAAACACTTAATGGATTTATTTCGATTTAGTGTCTATCCACATTCGCGCGCGTTTCAAAACTAAACAGACTATACAGATTTGTAATGTTAGAACCTTTCCGTTGTGTATTTGCATTCATAATATGTATTCTTGTTATTTCGCTGAGACGACTTGTCCAACTTGTGTTGAGTGATCATCTCGCTAGCTAAGCTGATTGCCATTGCGCCTAAAGCAAATCACAATCATTCTCTGATGCTTAATTGATCATTCTTAATATATATATATATATTACACAACTACAAATTTGTGCACAAATAAACAAAGCGGCATTAATTAGTACGGGGTTATCATCTTTCAAAAAAAATTACGTATGTAAACATGGACGTATTTTTGTTTTGCACAGTTAAAAGGTATCTATCGTCAGAAAACAAAACTTAGAGAAAACGTTACGGTTAAAGTTAAAAATCTGATACCGATATTTTTGCCTGAAAACCGTTAATCCAGGGTTTTAGGGTCGCTGATTTGATTTTGGAATTTGATCTATTTAGTTTTTAGTTTAGTTTAGTTCAGAATCGAATATAAATAATGTGACATACAAAATTAAAAAAAAATATCAAGTGCTTAGATTTAAGATCCTCTATCTGCAATTTTCATGAAAACTGGCTTCTGGTGTTAGACCTGATCTGGGTCATCAACATTTAGTTTTAACTTTGCAATCCAATGGTAAATTCTACTAAAAAGCTATTTATAAGATTAGCAATGACATCATCGATAACAGTTAAGTCTTAGGTTAGGTGTATCTTTATATCAGAAGCTAATTTTTTTGAAAATTTCAGAGAGAGGGTATTGAATATAAGCCCTCACTTATTATACGCAGATGACTTGAGAATTTTTGCAGGAATAAGAAACTTAATAATAATCCCAACGGTTTTTACCCTCCATTCCCTCCCATCCGCACGAGGGGCGCAGTCCGCATGACGTACGGAACTAGAATTTTCAATTTTTGCGCCGAGTCACGATAGGCAGGAGTTTGTTAAGTGTCAAGATCTAAAACTGTTCAGCTACAGAACTAAATTCATCAGCCGATTTTATGTCTTTATTTTAATGATTCATTTATTGAGAGAGGACAGTATCGATTTCTTAATGCTGAAAAGCGGATCTGATATATCAAACGTGCTGGAATGAGAGCTAAAATCCTGGCATAAGCAACGGAGTGGGTCGTGCAATTCAAAATTTGTTTTACAAGCTTTCAGAAATAGGGGACAAAAGTGCTTAATACCCGGGAGGGAACATTAAGGCTAACTTCACACAGAAGAAGCGGACTTGAAATTGAGCCTGCCAGTAATTTAACTATAAAAATTGTACCAAGGATTTGCCTGCGACTGGCAAGTGTAGGAAGATTAACAAGTTTTAATCGGCTCAAATTAAATGAAACCATTTTCAAACAAACCGAAACCTTTTTCAAATTAAATGAAACCTTTTTCAGGTCCAGCGAAACCATTTTCAAATTAATTGAAACCTTTTTCAGATTCAATGAAACTTTATTCAAATTAAATGAAACTTCCTTTTAAGAATGTTTCATTGAAACTGAAAAATGTTTCATTTAATTTGAAAAAGGTTTCACTTAATTTTAAAATGGTTTAATTTAAACTGAAAATGCTATATATTGCGAATCCCAAAGGAAATTTCTTAAACATTACCCTTTGTGATGTATTATAGAGGTATGAAGAGATCCAATGTAGAAAATTAGGTGGAAGACCAAGAAGATCAAGTTTATAGATGAGCAACGATGTAGTTAGTCTTCAGGCTGATCTCAATGAACTTGCCTGTTGCGAGTACTAGTTCCTGTATATCTTTAAATATCAAAAAACTTTTTCAAGTCACTTACTCCAAATCTCGTGATCCTCTACAATCGTCAAGGTAATGTCTAAAACAATAATGTCATTCAACCTGTGAATTAGATTAAATATCATGGAGTAGTTTTTGACTCACATTTCTCTTTCTCAAATCACTTAAGTTTTATTATCTCAAAATCCTACTCGATCTTAGGTTTTGTATGACGAAATAGTTCCAACTTTTCAGATGCGCGTTTATTCGGTCAAGGTTGGAATATGCTTCTCTCATTTGGAGAACTTTTCATCAATTTGCTATCACAAGAATTGACCGGGTGCAAAAGGTATTTCCGAAATTCGCTGTGAGATCTTTAAATTTTCCATACCCTATTCCATTTTATAACTCCCGCCTGCTTTTAAGCAACTTAAAGCCGTTTGAACGCAGAAGGTCGATACTATAGCTTTCTTTTGTTTTTAATTTAGTTCAAAGGGACATTGATTGTGAATTTCATTTGCAACGCATTAACACAAGAAAGACTCTTACCGTTTTTATTTTAAGATACTCAAAACCAATTTCGGATGCAATGCACCAGTTGCACGTGCGCTTTGCGAATTTAATGAGATCTCGAATTTTATTTAGTTAAATTTTTCAAGTTTTAAGCATCAGTTGTCTTTTTTGTTGAATTCATATTTTTAATCTCTCATACATTTAATAAACCAATGGAACTATTTGTATTTTGGTCATAATTTATCTACGAACTAATTTGAATAGTTTGTATTAGCCCTAAGTAAGTCAATAGTCAGTAAGAACTGTTACGAGTATCCTTAAATATTTGCCGGATTTCCCAAAATTTTTTCGGTTTGTATCGCTGGATTATTAAATATACGCTCATAATGACCAAATTACAGTACAATTAACTTTATTGTACAACAAACACTTGTTGTAACACAATACTAGTTTAGGCAATAACATTAACAAATACTTATTAAGGCAATCAAAACACTTTACAAAACTTGAAAAAACAACACTGAACTTATAGCTTGCTGATTCGCAACTGACTTGTCTGGTAACTTGCTGCCTTGCAACTAACTAACTTCGCTGTAGCTGCGGACAATTTTTTTTAAAGTCGTTAAAACTTTTTCAAATTTAGATTTTTTTCGAATTTCGAAAAAATATATTTTTACACTTTTCGTCATGTCTTCGACATTTACAGTGGCATCTTAAAGTATGATATGTCTGTATTAGGGTGATTCAGAAAAAAATTTATTTTTTTACCTCGGAACCATGTCTAAAAGTTTCGTTTAGACGCCAAAATAAGTCCCAGAAAATAAGAGCCCTTAATATTAATTTATTTTATTTATTATTTTCGATTTCCCTTAACAATAACACAGGAAAAATGGTATTTTTTACTTCTGAATTTTATATAAACAAAAGGTGTGCAGTCATTTTTCGATAAGTCAACTCGGAACAGAATGGTGAATTCGACTTTGACCTCGAATAACTTTTGACCGAGTTGACCTATCGAAAAATGACTTCAGACCTTTTTTGTAGCGCGTTCAATTCTCTACTCTCTACTTCAATACAACGTATCGGTCGTTAAATATAAAAATCAGAATTAAAAAAAAAAAAAACAATTTTTCCTGTGTTATTCTTATGGGAAATCGAAAAGTGCCGCAGCATTCTTAATATTAATATTAAGGGCTCATATTTTCTGAGGCTTATTTTGGCATCTAAACGAAACTTTTGAGCATGGTTTCGTTGGTTTTTTAATCTGGATCACCCTAGTATATATGAATGCATCCATTTTTTTTGTCTTTTTTTATCTCAAGCACGGGACCGAACCCAGAATAACGTAATATGACCAGTTCCGCCGACTAAGTAAGGTTTGATAAAACTTATTCAGACACGATAAGTGCAGAAATAGATTCCCCATACCAAAAAACCCCTTATAGTATGTTTTTATACAAAATTAAAGCACTTCTTTACGGCAATATAACAAATTGCCAAGAAACCTATTTGCGAGATTTTGCAAACCCTTTGTTCAAAATTTCTGAATGACGATTGTGGCTCCACTTTTCTGAGTAAATATGGCAGAGAACCATCTTTTGTGTTAAATGGGTTAAATACTTTCTTTTTCAAAGTTGATATAAATAACAAAGGTGTTTTGATTTATTTCTGGTACAAAGATATTTATTTGGAAATTTATTTTTTATTATTTTTTTGTTCATATTTAATCGTTATTTATGATTTTTTTTATTTCTTAGATCAAACTTAATTGTTATTTGGTTTAATTTTTTTATTTTTTAGATCAAAAATTATAAAAATTACGATTACAACATTAAACACAAAGTAAAAATCACCATCTAACGATTACATAACAAACAACCAAATCTTTTTGGGTGCATTCTTATTCGCAGTTTTGTGTACAATCAAAAATATGTACATACATATATTTCTCTCTGCGTAAGAAAGTTTGTTTAAGAAAGGTTCATTAATTTTTTCACCCTGTACCACTAAAAAAGTTCTAACTTTAAAAAATAAAACGTAATTTCACAAAAACAGGCTAGACACTGTTATTTGCATGCATGCATTCATATGTACATACGTGCGTACAACCCAAGATCGATATAAAGCACGTTTCACCATGTGTACAACCGGAAAAGAGCAAGTAGCTCCATCAGTTTAAAAATATTGCGCAATATTTTTGAATATTGAACGAACGTAAGTGGCAACATTTGAATGATTGTACCAGTGTTCGGACTACAAAAATCGATTCAGAACTAAATAACTGGAAAAGCGTACTAAAAACCAAACTTTCGCAGTATTTTTTGATATATTTATTATTGTATGAAATCATTTATTAGGCATATTAGCTTAGAATAAATATTTGATAAGTCCACTTTATGAAAAATTATGTTTTGAAATTATATTTGGATTAAGGTACTTGTTTTATTTTTAGTTTAGTTTATATTCAATGCAAGCGTAAATTTGCTCCAAAAGTCCGACAATCCGGGCCGACAATCCGGTCAGGCCAAAATAATACGAAATCTTTTAGTACATAT